TTTGGTTGCGCACTGGCACCGGCGTGGTTCCAGGTGACATGGGCGCGACTTTCATGTCCGTGCGCATCTGTTCGCAATTTGTTATGCAGCGTGTAACTGATCAGTGCTGCTTGCGCGGCTGGCACGTTGCTCTTGGGCCCAGGCTACCTTGGGATGGTGACGATGTGGGGGGGGGGGGACATGCGCCAGGTCGCTGCTGAATGCTTCGCCGACGTCCTCGCCAACAGAGTTTTCACCATCGGCGCAGGCCTGGCGCTCCATCATCTCGTCACAAAGCCCCCAGGCGAAAACCAATCCATCACGGGCGCGATGGGAGAGGTGGGGTGATTCTTAACATTCTTCTAAGTCGGAAAATGTCGTCTTCCTCGCTGCTGCCCGTGGCGCCTGTGTCTTCCTTCGGTTTTTGCTTAGAGGCGACTGCCATCAGATCGCTGGCGCTTGTCGGCATGGCGCTCGGCACCGCCGCGGGCGTGTGTGTATGTATGTATATATATATATATATATATATATATTTATTCATATATACATATGTATATATATATATACACGCACATATATATATATGTATATATATATATATATATATATATATTCAGCGTTTTCACTCGGCCCTGCAGTGGCAGGAATGACTCAAGCAGCCCGCGTCCGCCCCCTTACTACGGGCAGTTTCTGGTGCCTCAGGGCCCCCTGGAAGCTCGAGGTTCATCTTATCAGGGGCCTCCTCGTCAACATCGCCCTTCCTGGGCTTGAGACCTGGGCTCGTAGCAAAGGCCCCCTCTCGGAGCGCGACATAGCGGGGCCCAGTTTTTTTTGTTCGCGGGCAAGGGCATGCCATCCATGGGGGCGCGTGCTCTCGAGGCAGCGGACATCCAGCCGCGAAGGTCTCAGCTGATTGGGGATCGCGCCTCTGCCCCTGGAGCTTCGGATGCGCGGGCCTCGGTGGTGCCGAGACCTCTCCGAAGACGAGAAATTCCATGGGCTGTTCTGGGCTGCCATGTTTGGGATCGCGGCTGCAACTTGCGCCGCGCTTCGCAATGCGCGCGTTCCTTCCTCGGCTCGCCCGTGGGCCCTCCAGCTGCAGCGAGATATCGATTCCCTCGGGCGCACCGAGCCTGGCGAGGGCCTGCTGCTCGAGGCTGATGGGGAAGCCGAGCGTGCTCTGTTTGAGCTTTGCGACCGGCTTCGGGGAACAGGGGCAACGCAACGTCGTGCAGTTGTTCTCTTTTTAGCGACCCGCCACGCGAGCGAATCGCATCAAATGCGAAGCCGGCGCTGGTGGCGAGGTTGCGCGCCGCGAGCTTCCAGCTGACGGATCGCAGAGCCTCGCAAAGTGGGCTGCGCAGAAGCAGCTCGCGGCGCGCGTGGCTTCTGCGACTGGTGGCGCGCGTGGGAAGTTGCAAGTCGCGCGCGTTTGCGCGCCGACTAATCCGCGCACGATGCGTGGAAGCGCGTTCAGTGACAGCGCAGTAGCTAAGCGGCATGCCAAACGCAGTCTTGTTCGACAGTGCTGCCCGTGCAACCGAGGACGTCTCGAGCGCATCGCAAGTTGGGCGCTCGCTCCGCGCGCGCCGCGTGTGTCTCGAGGCTTCGTGCCGCGCCGGGGCTTATGCGCCCGCCATCTCTTCGTCCATCTGACTTGTTTTTGCGGCTGCCCTCTCACGTCGGAGTAATGCGATGTCGAGGCAGGCTCGGTCAGGCCACGCAGCGCGAGTATCGTTCGCGAGCCCAGCGGCGCCGGGAAGAGCAAGGCGGCCGAGGGCGAGGGCGAGGCAGAGGAGGGCGAGGGGATGCGCGACGGCCGAGACGGCGGCGCGCAGGGCAAGGCTCGGGATGCGCCCCCGGCACAGGTGGGTGCACGCACTCGCCGTCAGGAACACCGCCTTCTCGACTGCGCTTGCCCCCAGGACATCCAAAATAACGGAGTGCATGAACGGCGCGTGGGATTTTCGTCGAGCTCGCAAGGTGGGGCCAATCAAGTCCATGGCCAGCCCCGCGCCCCAGAACCTCGTCGCCCTTCCAGCCGCCGCCGAGAGCCCCCGCTTCAAGGATTCTTCAGACAGGGCGACCGTGGCCAGGCGCCTCTGCAACGGGCTGTCCGCAATGATGAGCAAGAGCGGGCCGCGTGCGATGGCGGCCTGGGATCGCGAGGCGATCTACCCGGCGACCTGCGATCGAGCAGGAACGGGCCCCGAGAGTCGCATTGCGTTGCCTCTGCGCGGCGACATTCTCATGCCGCGCGAGGTCGCGATCGAATAGCAGCTGCTGAAGGCTGTGGCTGAGTGCGAGATGCCGGATCCAGCGGTCCAGATCGGCCCCCCCCGGAGATCCCGACGGGCCTGTTCCACATGTGGGGCAATTTGGTGCAGGTTTAGCAATATGTTTGCGAGGTCGTCCGTGCCATCGGTGGCGATGTCAAGTTTAACCGCGCTCTGCGTGTTAGGGGGTAAGAGCCTAGCAAGGCATATCGGGGGTAAGAGTCGTCGTCGCGGCAAGGGCACGTGACATTTCAGATCGCTTAATGGATGGTTGCTTCTATTGATCCCCAGCAAGTTGATACCTCATATTGCCGCATGAGTGACTGACTCCACTGACAGGGTACGCCCCGAAATGGGGGTGGGCGCAACATGGTGGGGGCTCCCATCGTCTGATTGCTAAAAGGGCGGTGTACTCTTAGTGATATCTATCCAACGGGTTGATAGTCGCATTGCTCAAGTGGTGGTTGTCTCATCTGATGTTTCAGATCGCCCACTGGATGGCAGTCTCTACTGATTCTCTGTCCAGTGGATTTGTATCTGTAGTATTTTCACGACGTTGGGACTCGTGGCCGCGCTCGGCCACGCCCCCGCGCTGGGCCCCATGGAGACCATGCAGCCTGCTGCGTGCCGCTTGCTTTCTGCCGCCTTCTTCACCTCTCTCGCATCCTCGGGTCCTGGGCCCCTGTCTTCGCCGCATCGGTCGCTTCCCGCTTCGCAGCAATCGAACCCACGGGATTGGCGAAGTGACGACAAGGGGCAGAGTAGTGTCTGTGTGGCTCCATCCCGAGCCATCGCATCCACCCCCGACTGTCACAAACGGTCTTGAAGTGCTTGAGCAGCGAAGCGTTCCCGACGCGAACTTCGGGGCGGCGTTGCACCCGGTTCCATCGAACACCATGGGCTATCGAGAAGCGGCAGCTAGCCGTGAATAGGCTCATGTACAGGGCCCAGGTTGTCCCCCTCTCCTCTCGTCCCCTCTTTTCCTGCCCCCCCTCTGGCACCCTTTATCCTTCTCCTCCAGGCGAGCGCCGGCGTTGCTGCTGAAATCAGCCTTCATCAGCTACATTGCTGAAATCAGCTACATTGCTGAAATCAGCGACGCGCCGACGCCTTCATCAGCTACAGTGCTGAAATCAGCGCGTGCGAGAAGAGCGACCAGCGGCGGCAGACTCTGGCCCGGCTCCGAGAGCGGGCGAGAGTAGAGAAACAGCCCGACGTGCTCAGCTACAACGCCGAAAGAGCGTGCGATAACAACGGGCAGCGGCAGCAGGCGCCGGCTAGACTCCGAGACGCGGAGACGAAGCTAGAGCCCGACATCCTCAGCTACAGCGTTGAAGCCAGCGCGCGCGAAATGGGCGAGCAGTGGCAGCCGGCTCTGGCTGGAACGCGAGATGCCGGCGGCAGGCTGATAGAAACGCACGGGGGGGGGCCGCGATCAGCTGCAATGTTGCGAGCAAGCCGCGCGAGAAAGGGGGCTGGCAGTGGCGGCGGGCGCTGGCGCTGAGCGAAACGCGCGGGCGGGCGATCAGCCACAATGTCGGGGGCAGTCTGTGCGAGAAAGGGAGCGCGGCAGCAGGCGCTGGCGCTGAGAGGAACGGGCGGGCACGCCGCGATGAGCTACAACGCTGGGGGCAGTCCGTGAGAGGAAGGGCAAGCGCAGTGGCGGCGGGCGCTGGTGCTGAGCAAAACGCGCGGGCGGGCGATCAGCAACAGTGTCGGGGGCAGTCCGTGCGAGAAAGGGCGACAGAGGGCGCTGGTGCAACGCGCGGGTGGGCCACGATCAGCTACCTCGTTGGGGGCAATCCGCGCGAGAAAGGGCGAGCGCTGTGGCAGCGGGCGCTGGTGGCAGCGGGCGCTGGCGCTGAGCGAACCGCGCGGGTGGGCCGCGATCAGCTACAATGCGAGAAGGGGCGAGCGCAGTGGCAGCGGACGCTGGCGCTGAGTGAACGCGCGGGCGGGCGGGCCACGGTCAGCTACAGCGCTCGCTGGTAGTAGTCCGTTCGAGAAGGGGGGCGCTCTGCGGCCGTGGATGAGGGAATGCACCCCGCAGACCCTGACGCTGCGAGAGAACGGCTGCGATAAGTGGGAGGCGATCATCGAGCCCGACGGCATGTAACTAACTCCGCTAGGAACAGTCGTGCACGAAAGTACAGGGGCGCACATCACCAACTACAGTGCTGAGATCGACTTGTGCGCGGAAGGCTGGGGAGCAATCGTGCGAGACAGGGTTTCGTTTCATCCGAGGCCAGTCGAAAGCCTCTTGCGAGAAATGGGGGGCGAAGCTGGAGCCCAAAATCTTCGAGAGCACCATCGCCAGCCTCTTGCGACAAGGGGGGGGCGAAGCTGGAGCCTACATGTTTGACTAAAGCCGACCTCCATCGCCTAGGGACGGCATGGGGTGAGTGAAGCTCAATCGTCGCCGCGGTGCGTGCCTCGCAACTGCGGAAATCAGGCTCGCAACATCCTGCAACATCCTCCTCCTCCTCCTCCCCCTCCTCCTCCTCCTCCTCCTCTCTGGACCCCCCCTGGATCATGCACAAAGGTCCCTCATGTTTCCCCACCTTCCCTTGCTCGAGATCTTTGGAGGTTGCGAATGATGAAGCGAAGTTTCCGCTTATATGGAACGGTTAGGGCAGTCTTGAAAGCCATGATGAAAATCCTGCTGCTGCCGATGATGAGACTGACGAGGATGATGGGGCCACTTGCAGGATTAGGCGGAGGGCGCCGGCCCCCAGCAGCCATGAGGTCCTCGACGAGATCCACGAGCGGGACCGCCTCGCCCCCCAATGCGATGCACAGTGCGCCCGCCCGCCAGATCCCGCCAGGAGGGGCAACGCTAGGGGCGGACAGGGCAGTCAATAGGGGAGGGGGCAGCATTAGAGGGCAACGTTCAGGGAGCTGTCGAGGAAAACAGGGCAAAACAAAACATCAACTTTCGGAGCTTCGCGTGGATCTCCTGGATCTCCAAAGTTTCCCCCTGGCGACGCCCCAGGCACCAACCCTGGCGCGATCCATGCGCCAGGGAAGGGGGCCCAGCGCCGATCCAAGAAATCCGCGGTGACCTCCGAAAGTTTCGGTTCATGGCATTCGTCTTTCGGCTCAGGTCGGACGTGGTGGGGTGGAGAGCCAGGATCGTCTCGATCGAGAGGTTTTCATTGGTTTTCGGCGGTTTTCCAGCCCCGGGGTGCTTTGCTTTCCAGCAGCTGTGCCTCGATGCTGGCATTCCCGGGGTGCCCGAAATGTTCCGAACGGCCGCCGGAATCTCGAGTTATGACCCGAACATCCAATCGAATAAGGGGCATCGACCGCCCAATCGCCTATGGATCGGCGGTAGGAGCCCGACAGGCCGCCCCGCCCAGGGTCGTGAGGCTCTGCGATCGAGGGCCGATCGCCGATCTTTCGGCGATGTATCGCAGGGCCCAGCTCGATTCCCCCCCTCCCTGGGCTGCTCCCCACCCCCCCCTCCCACTCGTCCCCGCCAAGCAAGGATCGCCTACGCGAAAGAGTGACCCTTCGCTGGAGTGATTTCTTGTGCGGGGATTTTGGAGGGGGGGCGGGGGGCCCAACCCAATGGCGCAGGCCGTTGCTGCCGCATCGCGTGCAGCGATCGTGAAGGTGTGCACCGATGGTTGCTTTTGCCCACGGTCAGTCTTGCTTGTAGCTCAGGCATCGTCCTTCCCTCCCCTTTCCCCCCTGCGCTGGCGGGAGCTCGCGGCGGATGCTGCTGCTGCTGCTGCTGCTGATGATTATGATGATGATGATGATGATGATGATGATGATGATGATGATGATGATGATGATGATGATGATGATGATGATGTTGATGATACTGATGATGATGATGATGTTGATGCTACTGATCATGATGATGATGATGATGATGATGATGATATGATGATGATGATTATGATGATGATGATGATGATCCATGATCATGATCATGATCATGAATCATGAATCCATGAGGATGCTGATGCTGATGCTGATGCTGATGCTGATGCTGATGCTGCTGCTGATGAGGAGGAGGAGGATTAGGAGGAGGAGGAGGCGGAAGAGTGAGAGGATGAGGAAGAGGATGAGGAAGATGAGGAGGAGGAGGAGGAGGAGGAGGAGGAGAGGATGAGGAGGGAGAGAGGTATACGGGGACCGAGGTTTGAGGTTGTTGGGCGTTTCTATGCCTTGTCTGGGCCTCCCGGGGGCTTCTGTCGCTAGGACTGGAGAGTCTTTGAAACCACGGTCAAAGAGTATCCCTTGAGAGTTTCAGAGACAAATTTTTTGAAAGATCGTGGCGGGTGAGGGTGAGATTGTATGAAAGGGGTGGAAAGTGGGGAGGCGGATGATGAGGTTGATGATTATGATGCTGATGATGATGGTGATGCTGATGATGATGACGATGATGATGATGATGATGATTATGATGATGATGATGAGTATGATGATGATGCTGATGATGATGATTGCTATGATGATGATGATGATGATGATGATGATGATGATGATGATGATGGTGATGAGGATCAGGATGAGGAGGATGAGGATGAGGACGCTGGTGATAATAATGACGATACTGATAATGATGGTAATGATGATTTTGGTAGTGGTGGCGACGATGATGATGATGATGGTGATCATGGTGATGGTGACGATGACTATGCTGATGATGATGATGATGATGATGCTGATTATGATGATGCTGATAATGCTGCTGCTGTAGATGCTATTGCTGCTGACGACGACGATGACTATGCTGATGATGATGATGATGATCAGGACGATGGTGATGCTGCTGATGCTGCTGGTGATTATGGTGGTAGTGGTGGTGATGACGATCTGGACGACGACATCGACAGTGGCCATGGTGATGAGCCTATGCTGCTGGGGGCGATGGTGATGATGGCGATGCTGACGATGATACGAATGATGATGATAGTGATGAGGTGAATGATGATGACGATGATGATGCTGATCACAATGATGATGGCGATGGCGATGGCCATGGCCCTGGCGATAGTGATGTTGTTGGTGGTGACGATGTTGATGCTGATGCTGATGATGATAGTGATGTAATGATGATGATGATGCTGACGATGCCAATGATGATGACGATGCTATTGATGATAATGCTGCTGCTGCTTATGATGATGATGATGATGATGATGATGATGATGCTGATCGTGATGACGATGCTGATAATGATGATGTTAATAAGTATGACGATGGTGATGCTGATGATGCTGTCGATGATAATGATGATGATGATGCTGATGATGCCGATGCTGATGATGATGCTGATGTTGATGTTGATGACGATATGGATGATGACGATGATGATGCTGATGCTGGTGATGCTGATGATTATGATGATTCTGATGATGCTGATGATGATGGTGATGCTGGTGATGATAGTGATGATGACGATGACGATGATGATTATGCTGCTAATGATGATGACGATGATGACGATTATCAAGAATATGACGAGGATTTTGACGATGGTCATGGTAAGGATGATGAAGATGGTGATGCTGATGATGCTGCTGATGATGCTGATGCTGATAATGATGCTGCTGATGATGATGATGATGATGGTGGTGGTGCTGATGATGATGATGAAGATGATGGTGATGGTGATGGTGACTGTGATGGTGATGGTGATGGTGATGATGATGATGAGGAGGAGGAGGAGGAGGAGGAGGTGGAACCAGGATGAAAGGAGGAGGAGGAGGACAAAGACTAGGAGGAGTTGGCAGGAGGACGAGGAGTTGTGGAGAAGGAGGAGGAGGAGGAGGCGCAGCAGCAGGAGGAGGAGGAGGAGGCGGAGGATAGGAGAGGGGGATGAGTAGGAGAAGCAGTGCGGGATGAGGGGAGAAGGGGGGGAGGAGGACGAGGAGGAGGAGGAAGAGGAGGAGCAAGAGGAGGAGGAGGAGGAGGAGGAGGACGAGGAGGAGGGTATACGGCGGAGGGGGCGGGAGGGATGTAGGTTGGAGGTTCACATGACGGCGAAGAGGCGGTCAGTGAGGGGACGGGGTGGCGAGGAGGGGGTGAGGAGGGGTAAGAGGAGGGGCAAGAGGAGGGGGAGAAGAAGAAGCTGGAGGGGAGGAGAAGAACGAGGACGGTGGGGGTGTGTTAGCCAGGCTTCCTGGGAACATGCGTTGCCCAGGGGGAGGACAGGGTTGAGGGAGAGGAGAACGGACACGGGAGCGGAAGAGAAGGGGCGGAGTGAAGCAGTGGAGGATGGGGAGGGGGAGGGGGGAGGAAGGAGAACTGACAGACGATGAGGTTGTGATCAATGAGGGAGACTGGAGAAAGGCTGATGACCAGATGGATTAGCAAGCGTAGTAGGAGTGCACGAAAGATCGAGAACGATGGTGATGCTGATTGCGAGTTTGATGATGATGGCCGTACGGGCTGTTCATATACGAGGATGATGACGATAGGTTTGCGATGTATGGGGATTCCGCCTGCCCACACTCTCCTCGCATCCTCTTCCTCCCTCTTGGTCCCTCTCGGCGCTATGTCGTTTTTTCTTCAGGCCATGGTCGTTTTTTCTTCAGGCCATTGCAGGTCGGCGCGTGCGGTGTTCTTGGTTTGCCTAGCGACTTTTCGATTTGTGATGTTGTTGTGTCACCAGTGGTGTTTGCATGGGTGTTATACATATGACGGCGCACCGGGCCCGGGGGCCGAGGGCCGGAACCTCGACCGCAAATGTGGGCACCGGGGCCCAGGCCCGCCTCTGGGAGACCTAAAATCGCCCCGGGGAGCCCTCAGACAGCAATCCCGGCGGCCCCAGACGGTCTCGAGACACCCCCAAGACGCCGTCCAGGGGTCTCTGGCGACGCACGTAAGACACCCCAAGAGGCCTTTAAGATGCCGCCCAAGAGTGCCCCGAGAGGGCAAAATCGTTGACTTTCATTGGTTTTGTTTTATCATGTTTTTTTTTGTTGTTGGTATTTTCGCTGTTTCGTGTTTCCGGCGCTAAGGCACTGCCCAAGAGGCTCCCCAAACCGCCCCAAGACGGCCCAAGAGGCCCCCAAGAGGGCCTCAAGACGGCCCAAGAGAGCCCCGAGGCGGCCCCAGAGCCGCCCAAGACGGCGCAAGAGGGTCCCAAGAAGGCCCCAAGAGGGGCCCAAGAGAGGGAACGCGAACTGCTCTCCACCCCAAGATGCCCCCAAGAGGCCCAAAGAGGCCCCCAGGAAGCCCCCAAGAGCCCCCAAGAGGCCCCCAAGAGTCCGCACGATGGGTTTTAAATTGCCCTGGAGGCCTCCAGGACGGCCCAAGAGGCCTTTAAGATGCCGCCCAAGAGCGCCCCGAGAGGGCAAAATCGTTGACTTTCATTGGTTTTGTTTTATCATGTTTTTTTTTGGGGGGGGATTTTCGCTGTTTCGTGCTTCCGGCGCTGCTGCACCGCCCAAAAGGCTTCCAAAACCGTTCCGAGACGGCCCAAGAGGCCCCCAAGAGGGCCCCAAGACGGAGGGCCCCAGAGCCGCCCAAAACGGCGCAAGAGGGTCCCAAGAAGGCCCCAAGAGGGGCCCAAGAAGGGG